TCTCTCTCTCTCTCTCTCTATATATATCCTAAGCCTATCACAGACCATTTAATGGTGACATTGACCTCCTTCAAATAGTATGAACCTATTGGGGCATGTTGTCACAAAACCTTTTTTTCCCAGGAACAATGGTAAAAAATTTCTTTCTTTTTTTAAATTTTTTTTGTAGCCAGTGTTTTTTGGTTTAATGGGTATCAAATACAGCTTTCGATTACTTTAGTCGTATGATGGTCTCAAGGCCCCCAGAGGCCTCAGTCAAACCTGTACCTGCTGCTTACTGACGCTCTAAGTTTAGATGGTGCTTTTCAGTAACAAACTCTTAAACTTCTCCTTTTTAACAACTTATCTGTTGGTTTCTGTCCTCACCACCTGCTGCTCTGTACATCTTTGTTTCCTGGTCTATAGTTTTTATATTTTATATATTTTTTTTCCTCAGTTGTTTTTAAACGAGAGGCTCAGATGTTTTCATAGAAAATAACGACTACTTGTAATTTTTTATTTTTTACTTGAAAGTATACGGCTGTATTGCATATGTTCAATGTTCATTTATGCCAGTTTTATAGAATTAACAAAAAAAAAAAATGTTATCAATCAATACTGTGGGGACCAAAAGTCTAAGACCATGTTGAAAATGTGGGATTCAAAATCAGATTTAAACCTGGAAACGTTTGAGGTTTTCTAAAAAAAAAAAAAAGTAGAAATGGCCTTAATAAATATGTAAGATGACGCATTTTTCTAATCAAATAATTACATTTGTGGCATTAATCTTGAGAACACATTTGACTGGGCGAACTTTGAATCTCAAATCATGCTGGAGAACATGATAACCAAGTTTTATACAAACTTGTGAAGTTCATGCATTGTTATGCTTGCAATATAATTTGCAATTAAACATTTTGTATTCAGATTTCGTATTAAAAAATGCTAAATATTATCCTTTTCACTAGTGGGTTAGTCAGACTTTTGAACCAGTTTGTTGGATGGGAATAGCAAAAGAATATCTTTAGCATGGGATGTACAGAGAAAGATGCATGATTCAAGCCGCAGTTACATGAGAGATGTCATTACTGACTTTGAACATGTTTTGCAGCAATTATCTTATCTAATATTCCATTGAAATCACTTAGATCGTCAAGATACCACACCACACAGCCTTTCAAATTTATCCAGATTCACCAGCCTCACGAGATCCTTCACTCACGTTTGAAGCTTTCAAAAGCTGAAAATCTCAATATTTGGAAGGTCTGCAAGGAAATTTACATTTACAGATGCAATTTAAAACAAATCAAATGCAGTCTAATCTTATATTCACTTTTGTGTGACAATAAGGCCAAATACAGCTGCTTTAAATATTGAATGTTACATGATATGAAATATTACTGTTGCATTCAACCCCATTTAAAGGGTTATAAATGCAAAATTGACCACATTAACCTAAAATCAGACAGCTTAATGTGTGTACTTATTTATATAATACACGTGTTTTATTCTGAGATTGGGAAATCTAATGCTAGCAATGGCAGTAAACCAAAGGTTGCATTTGAAATGAGTTTGTTACATTTAGTTGAAACATTGTCTACTGCATTCAAGTGTCATGAAGCATTTGCACCAAAAAACTACGAACATCTGCATATCTAATGCGTTTTATTTTTTAGTTATCCTTTTAAATAATGTAAGAAATCCTTTAAGATTGCAAGATGTTTGTTAAAGTAAGACCAATGCCGTGTTTTCTTATTGTGCTTGATGGTGTGACATCTCAAATTCTAAAGAAAGTCAAAGGAAGTTTGCTTATTTTTTGTATTTATATCACCCTTTCATAACTGTGTTCAAAGCTGACCACTGACGGACACACAAAAGTCCCCCGTTTCTTACCTTCACAGCTTCCGACAGTTCCTGAAGCCTTGTCGGGTCACACAGCGTTGACATCACCAAGGATGCTCCTCATTACTGGAACCAGCCGACTCTCCACACTTCAAACACTTGTCTTGTCTGTGTGTGACCTGAATGTCTCACCTGCCTCGCAGCATTGATTAAACGCTCTCCTCTCTGACTCGTGGCTTCTCTTTGGTGTGAAGTGTGATTAAAAGTTAGAGGCTGCCTGTTCACCTCTTTATGAGATCAGCCCACAAGCCCCTGTCTGTGTCTACTTCTTTTAACACAGAGCTGATGGGTCTACAACATGGCCCACATGTCCCTCACATACTTGTATCAGTGGGTGGGTGTGCATTTATGAAAAAAAAAAAAAGGTCAAATATGGAAAACCACCCATATTGATTGTTCGCATTTCTGATGGCCAGATACTAATCTGCTCTCACCCTTGACTGGGTCCTTGCTGTTCAACTACATCTTCAGCCATTAACTAATGTTACGAAGGCTCTAAATTTAAGTCTAAGGAATCACAGAAGTCTGTGCTGTTTTGGAAAGACCTAAAATCCTTGATCACCTTCAAAATAGGCACTCATTCCCAATGCTGTAACCACCATAATCTCATTTAATATTAAATAATGGTCAATTAATATGCATTTGTCAGTGACAGATTCTTAAGTTTTTCATTTGTTCGCACCAACCGTGAATATTGTCACGTCATTGCTAGCTACTCCTTTCAAATGAATAATTAGCCTACATAAATGTGTCATAATTCTGTTTTGCTTTGCTCTACTTATTTATTTTTTGTGATGTTACCACATGTATAATAATAAAAAAAAGACTTATTTCCTCAATAATTAGAACATAACACTTAGAGTAGCTTTTGTCAGATGGCTAGTATGAATGGTTGTGACTAGTGTGAATTTCATGTGTAGCCTAATATTGTCAAGGACAGCGCGCCCCCTATTGGTTATTCTTGTAGCTGTCAGCATTTCATTCATTTGGATTTTAATAGGTATGTTAAGTTCCTTTATCCTTCATAAATAATAATAAAATTAAAAATAAATAAATAAATTAATTAATTAATAATTTTACCGATCAAGAAGGTAATAGTGCAGTTACGAATACAGAAGAGCACACGGAAATACAGAAAAATACCATTTTCAAATTATCTATAAAGCTTAATATTGATTAATTATTATATAGGCTACACTTATTATAAAGTGTATAAGTGTATACGATAGAAGGCTTATTTTCAGGTAAGGATTTAGATGTCCATGCCCGTGTTTAATGTGTTTGTGTGAGTTTTATTTAAAAAAATTTTTTTTTAGTGGCTCTGTTGACAATTATTTGCGTGGAAACGTTTTTGAACGTGATCCTGAAATAAGTATAGTGGTGTCTGTATCTTAATTTCACCGTGTTCGTTGCGATGTCTTTAATGCTAGTTAATGCTAACATTTTTGAATGCTCTCTGGCAGCTTACATATACGAAATGATCGCTCAGTTATCAATAAGAAAATGTTTTAACTGATCTTAAAGGAGACATATTATGCCCCTTTTTACAATATGTAATATAAGTCTCTGGTGTCCCCAGAATGTGTCTGTGAAGTTTCAGCTCAAAATACCCCACAGATCATTTATTATATCCTTTTGAAAAAGCCCATTTTAAGTGGAAGCAGAACACGCTGTTTTTCGAGCCTGTCTCTTTAAATGCAAATGAGCTGCTGCTCCCCGCCCCCTTTCCCCGCTTTTCCAGCTTTTGAGCTGTGCCGTTACAGCTAATACCTGCTAAAAACATCTGTTTTGGTTCTGATTATCATGTTTAACGCGCTGAAATCATGCGTTTTAAACCATATTAGTTTAAACTTCTGATATACGGTTTTCTGAGTGCACGCATCCGAAGCACACGGTCAAAGCAGCTGTCACAGCATGTGAGTACTAAACTAAGTTCTCATTCACACAAAGGTTTACGTTAAAAACACACGAGTTACAAAAACAGTCAAGCAGCTGTCACAGCATGTGAGTACTAAACTAAGTTCTCATTCACACACAAGTTTACGTTAAAAAAACAAAAACAGTCGGTTATGTCTGTGAAGGTAAACAGCGGGGAAATAAATCGCATGTTTATTTTAGATCTGTGCGCAGCAGCAATATACAGTAAATAAATCAATAATTCCTCTGCTCTCTTGTCTCTTCTGAAGCTGGGACTCTAAATAGTGTTCTGTGCTCGTCTGTGCAGCCAAAGACAGAACAGTTAGCATGTTTTGCTCAGACGTTAGCCATGGCATTAGAGCTGGTACACCGTTGTTGCTTGCGAAATCAAAATGAGGGCGCTTTGGGTGGAAACTTACAGATTAAGGGGCGGTAATATTATGAGATCCCTTTGCAACGTCACTAGGGGAGCGAAATCAGACACGCTTGTTTTTTCAGAAGCTTGCGGAAAAAGGCTTATCAAAACAAAGTTACTGGGTTAATCTTTTACACGTTTCCTTGGTTGGTAGATGCACCGGGGACCTGATTAAAGCACTTAAAACCTGGAAAAGTCAGATTTTCTTGATATGTCACCTTTAAAGCATTTATATAATGTGAAATTTAGATATTTGTAGTACCATTTGGGGTTCCTCTGATCGCCACATTGGTCGATCCTAACATCTAGGCATTATTTCAAATAGGCCAGTTCTCTGAAGAAAAAAAATATATAATTATATATATATAGAAAGAGAGAGAGAGTGAGAGAGGTTCATTGATTACACAGTAGAGGCACCTTCAAAATGGTGCTTAGAAGTTCTCCAACAGTGTTGGCCAGTGTATCGATCTGAGGAATTTAAGTTTCCATTATTATATTGAAAAAAAGACTTGCAATTATATTTTATACAGTACTTTTGAGCTGAACTGGTCTATTTACACCTCTAAATTTGTCTTTATTCTACTTCACACACTCGAATACATGTACATCCACACACCAGAAGTGTGAACATGCGGTTTGACAAGCCTGAGTTCAATCAGATATCAGACAAATTTACCCCATCCTGAAACCATCTTTATTGTGATCATGTTTCATATTTAATCATGAGCACTTTAATAATCATTTACTTTACAAATAGCCCATATATATTAGTAGGGAATCATTTATGAATACGTAACTACACGATGACTAGCACGTTGTTTTCATTACAAATTCTATGTACAAAATAATATGAAGCAGTTGGAGTCCAGCGATCCAGAGCAAATGAAACCATTTTTAGTTTTGTTGTTACTTTGTGTGTGTGTGTGTGTGTTGCAGCAGCCACGTAATTCCTTTTTCTTCTGCTTTTCCTTTACATGGAACATTACGAATGCATTACAGCTTTGGTGAAAGGTTGTTTTCGATGTTGTAACCAGTTAGAACTGGTATTTCACACAAGCAAGGTGAATACTAATAATAATTTCCATCATATCAATTATGTGCCTGTGAGAATATGTAGTGTAGATTCCCAAACTTGAATCAGATTTATATGCTATAAGCAAATAAGGGAAATGAGAGTAAAATGATGAACTACTTTTATTACAAGTGGCCATTTATTTGCAGAATAAACATTTTTATATTATCCGAGTTATGGTTTATTGCTAGGCCATATAGAGAGATTGGCTTGCACATCAGTACATTAAGCACAGCTAATACCTTAAAGGAATAGCTCACCCATGTTGTACCCTGGGTACTTTCTTTCTTCAGCGGAACACAGTGGAAGATATTTTTGAAGAACTATTTTTGTCTATAGAATGAAAGTCAGTGGGGTCCAAAACCAGCAATGGACCCCAGTTACTTTTAATGAATGGACAAAAAACACAAAAACATTTTTCACAATATCTGTGTCCTACAGATGAATGAAAGTCATACATGTTTGGACCAACATGAGAATGAGTAAATCTACAGTTCATTTTTGGGTGAACAATCCCTTTTAGCAGGTTATTATCACAATGAAAAACTGTTCCGGCAGCATTATTGCTGGTTAAGTGTTCTCCGGGCAAAAGATTCTTCTGAGCTGTCCTGAGATCTCAGCAGACAGCATGCAGTACCTGCTGTTGAGGTTCCAGAGGGACCTTACGCCATTATGAGATTCGTCTGTGTCTTGTAGCGACATAGGGAAGGACAGTGGCCAGCTGGGATGAAGGGGAGATGGACGCAAAGATGACGAGCCCCAAGGTAACATCTGGTTGCTGTGCTGGGTGGCAGACTGGCTCAACCCAGGCAGCAGCTGAGGAGGGGGTGGTGAGGCTGCAGATGCTCTCTGGGACGGAAACCGTTGTGGGTGGCTTGGTGGGTCGTTGCTGGAAGAGACCTGTGGGTGAGATGCTGTGTCTGCCTCTACTGGGTCAGCATTGTTGTCCAAATGGCTAATCTGTGACGGTAGGTTGGCACTTTTAGGAGGCACCCTCAGGGGTGAGATGAATGGAAATGAGCCATGCCAAGAGTGGTACAGCTCTGGAGCTTCTGCTGGAAGAGGAGCAGTACCAGTAGGCAAACCCCACATGGAAGGCTTGAGATGGGACGCAACGGGATAGTGGAAGGGCACAATGGGAAGATTGACGTCCAGACCTCGGCCAGTCCCCATGTAATACTGCAAACTCAGCACCTCGGCCCGGAGCTGGGCATTCTCCTCGTTCAGTGCCAGAAGTTGCCCCTCCAGCATGAAGTCATTGAGTCGTCGCTTCTCTCTGGAACGCTTGGCGGCCTTGTTGTTCTTCTTCCGTTTCACCCAATACGACGCGTCCTTTTTCTCAGTGGGAGTCATTTCACGTTTACGTCGTCTATTGGGTATTAACGGGTTGCAGTATGACTGGAGGTGGAACAGTCGCCGTGCCAGTACGGATGAGCCAGTGAGTGGCAGAAGCCTTCTTAGGCTTCCAGGGTCGTCTTTGCTTGTCAAGATCTCGCCCGTGGAGGATGGAAGACAAGCATCTGCTAGATGCTCAGGACTTTTCATGGTACTCATTGTTCTGAAAAGATAAAGAGCTTGATGATCTGTAGGCCCCAGTGTCAAACCAATACTTTGATGAAAAAACTTTTAGGCTTGAGAACTGCAGTAATCATGTAATTGTTGGTTTTTGCTATACTGGTGACGAGAATTTAAGAAGAACAATGCAAAAGCTCAGGATTTTTCTTCTTCCGTGTAAGAATGCGCCTGCACTATTAAATACAACAAATTCATTACCACTTATTAGAGTTCATACTGCAGTTTCCTGTCAAAATGAGGGTAAAAATAGACATGAGAAAGCTTGTCAGCCTAACAAGGAAACGTACTGGGCAAATCCTAATTTTAAATGTGCAAAATAATGATATAGTTTGCGAGAAATGCAACATGCTCAATTAAAGATGATGTTTGATTGGATCTAATGCATGCATCCTTGATAAATTCAGTTTTTGAGGTCAACCATGAATAAAGAACTTAGTTCTTCACTTGCTAAAAGCAAGACAATTTGTATGTCATTTGATACCATTGCATATCTGCAAAATTGACATTACATCAAATGGTGGCTATTCGTTTTGTGACTTTTTTTCTCCAAAAGCAAAATGTTTTTTGTAACAATTCAGATATATCAATCCAGAATTAAACTTCTGCATGATTTGCGTTTAATGAATACAATACAGATACGCATACAGAATACTAAATACTAACTTTACAAAGTCTTAACTGAGGACAACCAGTGCAAGAAAAATGTGCTTTACCTTACCTTACGGTGCTGTCCCAGGAATGATAATAGAAAGTGTAGATGAATTAAAGGACATCAGCTTAAAACTAAAACTCTTTGGCTGGAAACGTGCAAAGACACTCTGTCAACCAGTGGCTGTCAAGGTGGCACATGTGATATGCACACATATGCCTATTGCATGAAAGGAGCTGTAGTAGGTGAGGACCACATCTTCCTTCCTCAGTTATGGAGGCGGAGACTTGCAGACAAGTATCTCAAACCAGTGGTTTAAGTTATGACTCACTTTTTTGTTTGTTCTACTTTTAAAATAATGAATAAAATAAATTAGTCCTAGCACACTCAGCATCTTGATATTTTGTTTTCATTTTTGTTTACGCTTTGTCTTCCATCCAATGGTAATTAATTCAGTTTAGTTCTTCTGTTTGGATCTAAACTTAAAAAAATGTTTTTGTTGTTGTTTATTGAATTTCACATCTCATGCACCATTATCTGGTAAAATATTTCTTTTTTTATATACAATTTATTTACATTTTATTTATAAATTTATTTTAATGTCATGGATGCTGTATGAAGTAAGAGTCCTGCACTTCAACCAAAACTAGCACATTAATTAGACTGGCCAAACATACAGCACCGCGGCCCGTCAATGTGGTTGTATGTTCACATTGAGGTCAATAATTATATTGGGGGGTTATTTCTGCCATAATTCAAATAGCTTATGCCAGTATGGGCATATGTGTATTATTATGTTTTATTTTATTATATTCTGCTTTAAATAGTATTAAACTATGATTATAATATGTAAAATGCAAACAACATATTTTCTCATAATTATTCATCATTTCCTAGCTAACCTAATTCTTCAGAAAGTGCTAGTGTGTCAATCGACCAATTATAAGAAGTTGAAGCTCAGTAAGCACTGAAACTGCTGATGGTTAAGATCATGTAAAACAAACTCTCAACTGAGGCTAAAAAGAATATATTACCAAGAATGACTTGCATGAAAAAAAAAGTTTTTGCAGAGTTTACGTTTGTCATCTGGGACTGTCCTTCCAAATTTACAAACTTATGTAAGTCCGACTTGCGGCAGTTCCACTGCCAACCACGAATAAGCTAAAATCTTGACTATTAAATGCATATTGCAGGAAAAATATCATCTGATGAATGCGATTTTGATGCATTGTTGCCTTTACCTCACTTAACACTTCGAGTTAATCAGTAATGCTGTGCATCACTTGTGGTTACAAAACTCTGGTTCGAAGAATTAGCCACACTTGACATTTTAAGACTGTGTCTTCAAGATAAAAATGGGCCATGTATCATTTGCTAAAAAACACAAGATGTTGTTGATGTTCAACAGGTGTTGGATCATATCTCAGGCTTGGGTTCTTAGTGGTTGTGAAGAGTGTTGGTGGGGCGGCTTACCTGTTGGTGTTTACCGGTGACTCATCGAATAGCTGTTGGATCCCTCTGTGATTTTTTTTTTTCTCCTTCTTATACTTGGTGACTCATAACGCCACCTCAAAGCTCCACAGAACTCAAATGCTTTAACGTGGGACATAACCCGTAGTTCAGATGTACTGTTTTGTTTACCGCACACATCCCCCTCACGCACATTGTATTCACACACACGCACAGAGTTCGAGCTTAACCAGGTAATTGATCCTAATGTATTTGTTAAACACGTACATAAAACAGCACATTTTTCAAGTATGCTGCAGTCGCATGTGTGAATGAGGATGAGAGCTCACCGCAGCCGGCGCACATTGACGTTTGAACTATCAGGCCTCACCTTCTGCATACAGTTCAGCTGTGTTGTTTGTCTGTACAGTAACTCCAATCACCCCCTGTGTTTCTTTCTCAAGTGAATTCAAACCACTTCCTGTCTCTTGAGTTGTCAGTGTCTCCACACAACGACCTCATTTTAACTAGCCCCTCTCCCGTTTTTGACTCATTCGTCGGAACAGAAACTAAAGCAGCGATTGCAGAGCAGCAGACCGGGGTATACCCCAAAAACCTCATTCATAGCCACCTACTCACTTCCCAGAAAACAAATGATTTTGCTGATATTTTACATTATATGTTGGGTTTTTGGAGCGCTGATGTCTCGACGTTATTTGTGTGCTTTTTATTCATTAGCGTACAAACTCGTAAGGGATGTTGAAATTGTAGGCAAGTCATTGTTTAGGGTGGCAAGGATCAAGGCAGAGAATGGATAGCAAGGCCTAGGAAATGGTGATGGTGAGACTTTGAATTCTTCAAGTAAGATCTGAGGCATTTTGCAAGAAAGGCATCCAATATAAAAGTTTATGTGATGAATTCAATGCAAGGTAATACTAGACCTTCTGAAATCTATGAATGTTGCAAATTAGCTTATATAGACTTAAATGTATAACAGAGCTTACTGCCGTTCAAAAGTTTGGAAATTTTTTAAAGAAATTAATACTTTTATTCAGCAACACTTCAGAAGCTTATAATGTTACAAAAGATTTCTATTTCAAATAAATGCTGTTCTGTTCGTCAAAGAATCCTGAAGAAAATGTATAACATTTTCCACAAAAATATTAAGCAGCACAACTGTGTTTAACAATAATAAGAAATGTTTCTTGAGCAGCAAATCAGCATACTAGAATGATTTCTGAAGGATCATGTGACACTGAATAAATTCAGCTATAGGAAGAAATTACATTTTTAAAATATATTCACATAGAAAACAGTTATTTAAAAATGTACTAATATTTAACAATATTGCATTTTTTCAGTATTTTTGATCAAATAAATGCAGCCTAGGTGAGCATAAGCAACTTCTTTCAAAAACATTGACAAATTTTACTAATCCAAAATCTTGAATGATATCTTTTGACCTTTGACCTCGAAGAGTGATTAAGAACATTTTCAGCTTTTCTCTGAGTATCTATCTAAACAAAATACTCAAAGGTTGCATAGGCCATATAAATGTGATACATAATGTCTGAATGTTTTTTTTAACTAACGGTTTCTGTAAATGTGAACATTAATTTTTATTTTTAATATTATTTTTTTCTTAAAATAGTAAATTAATCAAAACTATAACATCAAGCTAATGAAAGCCTGGAAATTATGTTGCAACAAAAAAAGTTAAATATATTTTATACAAGTTAAGCTATATATATATATATATATATATATATATACAGTATATCTCAATAATAATATCTTAAATTGAACTTGCATAAAATCGACTGCCTTTTTTTAAATTTAATCTCTGCACACTGTTTTGAGGTGCATTCTGGATGCTTTTGAATTAAAATGGTAGTTTTGTAAAGAAACTGATATACAGTATATGCACAATATGTTTGTCTACACAACTAATTTCAAGAAGAAGCCTTCTGATTTTTAAGATCACAAGAAACAAATCAGATTGAAATCAGTCAAATGTGTCCAAACTTTAGACTGGTATAGTGTACATAATTTTAGAATGGTATAGTGTACATAATTTTCAAAATAAGATATTTTGAAGATTTTTCTCCTTTAATGTTGAGCTTTAATACATATTTGACCTTTAAACTACTGTAGTCACATAGAAATATAACACAAAGCTAGTACAATACCATCTGCTCTCATTAAGGCCACATACATGCATTTACAATATGCAACCTGCGGTTTTGTCTTTTCGTGCAATTAAATATATCTACTTTGTTCTGATTGATTTGAGATCACTGCCACCGTTTGATCGCAAGATCATGGCCTTCGACAGACCCTTCACTAGGTCTCCATCAGCACCTGTGGAACCGCATGCGGTGAGGCTTTCAGAGCGAGATATGAGCACTCGTTGCGGTTTGACAGGCTTGGTGCAACAGTTAAACTGTAATGGAGCATTGCCAATAGCAACCTGGTCAACTGGTCACAATTGCTCAGTAGGTCTGGTTCTCCTCTCATCTCGCAAACCACTCTGCATCTGAGAGAGGCCACATGTAAAAATAGATGAGCTTGATAGGACTTGAGACGCGTTATCTCACGCACACACATGTATGTGCGGTCAAACCTCCTACATGGCTTCAGCGCTGCCCACCGAGTTTTGATAGCCTAAACGCAGGGGCCACCATGAGGGGAATCCTTTGATTTGAGACGTTAAAGGGGTCATGATATGAAATGAGGAAGATTGGGCCACTTTGGGCCTTGATATGGTCTTGCAGCAGGTGAATGGATGCTAATTAAGCTGCAGTGTCTTTGGCTGCCACTAGATGGAGCGCTAGTTGAAGGGCATTGAAACAGCCTAAAACAGCAGCATTTGTGTTAAGTG